TGATACATCCACAAACGGCACACACAACCGGTCCTGAGGGACCTACCAGCTTTGTTGAACCTCATTTGGAAGCCAGGGAGGACACACTAGGGCCTCGCAAGTGGCAACAGAGGCCAACATTTAGACAACTGACTCACAAGCCCCAGAGCTGGTGGGCCTGTGCCAGGAGCCACAAGTGACCCCAGGGCAAGCCATGCCCTCAGTGATAGGTGCCATCCTGCAGGGTCTGGGCCGGGCGAGCAGAGGCAGGGGCTGGTAAGAGGCTTCACTGGCACCTCCTTCAAGCTCCAACAGGGTAGGTTTAGACTGAACATCAGGAAAGAATTTTTCACAGAAAGAGTGGTCGGGCATTGGAATAGGCTGCCCAGGGAGGTGGCTGAGTCACCATCCCTGGATGTGCTTAAGAATCATTTAGATGTGATGTTGGGGGATATGGTGTAGGGAAGAACTTTGTAGAGTAGGGTAGATGGTTGGACTCGATGATCCCAAGGGTCTCTTCCAACCTGAACGATTCTATGATTCTCCTGACCTAGTGAGGGTTTGAACAAGGTCTGGGGTCTGTCTGGGAGATCCACATGGGAGCAGCAGGAGGTGCAGCTGAAGCACAGGTCTCCTAGGCATGGGGACCAGCCTGTGACACGGCTTAGGGAGGGACTGCATGCCCAGGGGTGAGCTCAAATGGCACTCCTAGGCCCACATGCAGAGTTAGGGGTGCCAGACGGGGCTGAACAGAGCCATTAAGACCCAGAGATGTCTCCAAGGAACTGAGGGGTTTCCATCTTGGCTCTCCAGATCACACTACCTGGTTCACCACAAGCATCTGGGAAGACCCAACTCAAACACAGACACGCATGTTCAGGTGTTGCGATTTGGAGCTGGATCACTCTCCAGAGGCAGGGTTCAGTTGCCAAAATACATGCATCTGTTGCCGCTGGAGGTGCCACAGGGTGCTCAAGAGGACCTCAGAGCCAGCAGGCATGAGACAGGACTGTGGCCAAAGACATGGGCTTCTGGCTGGACCAACAGCTGAGGACCAGGTGGGACACCATGAGGCACATCTGTTGCCTACGTGCAGGTTGTTGAATCTCATCTTGGGTATCTTAACTCATGAATAAACTTTAAGAAGCCAGTGGCACATCTGATGCAAAAAGAAGACTGAAATAAATGTTAATTGTCTCACAGAACAACTTTAAGACAAGGTCACGCCCCAGCTGTAAGGCAGCTAAGCATGCTTGTGTGAAATGAAGATCTGGCCAGGATAAATCTTTTCCTGACCCCTAACAATTACACCCAAAGAGCAGCTCTTACTGCGAAGCATACATTAAGTAAAGCAGTCGACAGAAGCAGCTTCTGCTCACTCAACAGCAGCAAAAAAAAATAAAAGGCTCTTCATTTTCATCTAATTCTATAAACTAGCAAGAACAGCACTTGACATTTTGCTTTATTCTGACAACATCATGGGCAGCCACATTTGTAGTAGCAACTGCTATATATCTGTGTGTACATATACAATACAAAATGTTAATGGTTTTAAACAAGATATATTGCCTGTAAAATAAACAACAAGATATCTTGCCTGTAAAATAAGTCTCATAACTACATATGGAAAAATAGTGAGAAGTAAATATGCATAGACATGAAATAGAATATTCATCTCTTAGAAAAAACGGAGCAAGCCCTGTGAGTCATTAGAATATATTTGGGGATAAGGGAATTGCTACTTTACTTCCTGTCAAAACAAGAAATGTAAGATGCAGTTGCTTGAAGACCGCAAAAGAGATGAAATTTCAGGTAAATCCCTGATGGACTTGGTATTTTCACAGTTGAGAGAAATATGCAGGAATTGTTGTGTTGGTTTTTTTTTTACCCCCTTCTCTGAACTTCAGGGTCAATTAAGAGGCTGAGCACATCCACAATTAGCTGTGCAGAGAGAGGTGTTTAAGCCTCAAGAAATTTCCTGCAATACACTGAAAATGTGTGTCATATATGAGTGTATGTATGGTCTGTTTGTCCCACAACTTTTGATTTAGAGTGGCAATTTTCAGTTTAGGACTTAAGTGGAAGGTGAATAACAGTTGCATTCATGGCTAAAAGCCTAAATGTTTCTACTGTTCGTTTCAGCTGCAGTAGCTCACTGCTTCTGATAGGGAAAGTCCTGAGGCTCTGCAAAGCCACTGCACTTTGTTCTCTCCAGACATGGAATGACTCAGTTTCTCCATGGTGACTCATCTGGGTCATTCAGCTCTGGGCTGTCAAGCCTAGAAGGGGGTCTTATCCAGCTGTATTCAAGAAAGAGATGGGAACGGATCACTGGGGAGTCTTAATGAGCTTTTCCTACAGAGAGATCTGCTGGATGTGTCCTTACACATAGCCTTCTGCTGAATTTGGTACACACCTATCATCCAATCTGCTATCCAGGAAAGGAAAAGCATTTTAAGGTTTCAGGTTTTCAGTTACCTGTTTGCTGGGTAAAAAGCACTATGCTCTTTCTCTTAGCTTTCACTATCCTTTCCCTGAGCTGAACTGGGACTCCTCATTTATTATCTTTGGAGAGTATTAATAAAAAGATCATTCTATACTAAGACCAGTTGGCCTCCCAAGGCTTGCAGGCTCAATAATGTGGAGAAACAAGAAAAACAGACCATTTGCACAGCTTTCAGCTTACAGGCATTCCAAGAGTCCACATCGCACCAGCTGCTACAAACAACTTACAAAGAGACACAGGACTGAAGTGACAGTCAAATGTAGGTAGGTGAGGTGGCCAGGGGATAGAAAAGCCTGGCCAGGTCAAAAACCACCAGAGAGACAAATAATCCTGGAAGGACCTGCAAAAGATGGGACAGCCTCTAACAGGGGTGGTTCTGCTTGCAAGCCACCTGAACGGCTCGCACCAACAGCTTGGTAAACCCCAGCACAAGGATCAATCACCCAGACAGCCTTTTAAAAGGTCTTTAACACCTAGAATTTAATTCTTCTTTTTCTAAAGGCTCTAGAGTTGCAGAGACAATTTTGAAAGCAGGACTGAAAGTAGAACTAGAGGAGGTGGGCACCTGAGTTTGCAGAAGACAGCGTATTAATTAGTAAGAGACATAATTCAGATGCACATTGTAATCCTTTGTATCTTTGTACTGCTAGGAATTCGTAGATGAAAGCACGGACAAAACTAATAAAGTTAAAGCAATTTATATCCTTCTGATTGGTGGACATGGCGGAAACAGTGTTTTTGCAGCATTTCTTTGCAGCACGACATAACTCTCTGAGAGCACGTCCAGCAGGAGCACACTATGCACATGTGATGAGTTGATTAAATGTACAAATGGTCTTTCTCATTTGGTGTGCCAGTGGACCTAGCCTAATTGGTATGTGCCACTCAAGAGAGCTGTAGTAGTTCCCTCAGCACTCACTCCTCTCTACCCAGTTCCTCCCCTGGCTCCAAGTCACATTCACACCCAGACTCAGCACCACACAATTCCAGCAGAGTCCTTGACTGCTCGTGGCTGCCTCTCTGTGCATCAAAGGAGGAGGAAATATAAAGGAAGAAATGCTAAGATCCTCCTTAGCCCTTTCAGCTGAAAATCACCATTACAAAAAATTCTTGGTAAAGGACAGAAAAAAACCAAACACTTCAAACATGATTTTGCTTAAAAAGACTTTTTTTTTCTCTCTTTCATCTCTATATTTTAACGTCACTCAAAATTTTTAGCTAAAAAAATATCCCACAAAACTCTGTTTCCTCAAGGGTGTGCTCCAGCTGCTCTCCCAGTAAGAACCTTAGAGATGCACCTTATTTCTAGTAACACAGCTACTAGCTGTGCAAACAGCTGGAATATCAACAGAAAGGATGAGCAGCAACATAAGGACAACCAAGAAGAAAGAAACGCTCCGTTCATATCCCAGCATACTTGGAAAAGAGAAAGGGGAAGGAAAAGGAACATATGACATCTCTGCAGGGTTTCAAAGTTTGGGAGCGCTTCTTCAGGCCTATTAAAATCCACCATCTTCCTGACCTCAATAAATTTGAGGGAAGAAACCCCCTCCTCAGAGAAACAGATTCTTTTACTTCCCGTCATCATCATCATCATCTTCAGGGAAGAGCGAAGATCTACACAGCCCAGTGGCTCCTGAAACCTCCCTCCCTTCTACACTGAGAGAAGAAAATAAAGGCCAAGTGACCATAAAATGCAAAAGCGTTAATAAGCATCCCAGCAGGAGGATGCAGGGTTTGTGTTTACATGGGAAGGACAGAAGTACACGTGGTAGACAGGACTGATTCAGGGCAGAAATTGCAAACACTGACACGAGCCAATTTTTACATTTTGTGAAATGTGCAGGAGTAGTTTTTTCACCCTCCAGTACCTTTCTGTATGAGCTCTAAATGACAGCTCACAAAGAGGAGAGAGACCTCAGTTCATACTTATGTAACAAGACTATTTTCTTGATGGCGTTAACACAGCTCATAATAGACATGAATTTCTACCAGAAAGCTACTATATCATTAATTGCCATTAGTCACCTTGGAGCCAAAAAGTCAGTCCAACAAAGCAAGGAGTAGCTGAGGGTAGAATTTAGGATTGGATTTGGAGTAGATTACAAACTCTTTGAGGCACCCTCATTTGTTTCCATGAGTTGTGTTTACAACATTATGAGCAATTGGCAGCTGCTCCATCAGCCCTGCCACCACAGGCAGTGTAACAACACACAGCAGCCTGGAACTGCCCATCTATTCACTTCCTATACAAACCAGTATTACTCTATACCACTGATGAAAGCAATCCACAAAATGAAACCAAGGAAACACATCTCATCTTTGCAAGAAGGCAATTACCAAAACTGTGTTTAGTCAGGGTTGGGTTCTGTTCTCAATTGTGCTGTTGAAAGCGTGCTGTCTCTCCCCTGATCCCAAGTGGTTCTGGCACGATGGTGTTCTTCAAAATCAGCAAGTTCAGACACACTGCATTCTTCTTAAGACACAATTAAAGAAATTTAAAAAAGCAACTGACCTCTTGCCGTTTGAAATTCTGAACGTATTCTTCAAACTGTTCATCTTTTGTTTCATCCGCTTTTCCTAGTTTTTGAAGTACCTGTATTGAAAATAAAAAGGAACAACTGAATATTTATGCCACAAAAGCAAAGACACTGCTACTTGCAACACGTCTGTAGCTCACACAACCTGTGTGCACAAGTGTTGCCTGCACCGCCGTTTCTGAAGTTCACACAGGAAACCATTTTGTCAAAATAAAATTAAAAAAAGGATAAAAGCAGGAGTATGGCATGTGGATGTGCGTGTGGAAATACACTTCAAAGTACAGAGTCCTTGGGTGGTATCTGGGTGGATTTTTGTTGAAGGAACTTATCATTTAGCAAAGAATCCCAGGGTTTCAAAGGGAGGAAGAATGAGAGAAATTTGCTAGAACTGCAAGTTGTCCTCCCATTCAGAGAGAGAGAGAAAAACATAATCAAAGTGCATTAGGTTTTTCTTCTGTTTATGGCTCATTACATCAAATGGTATTAACATTACCCTTATCTGCATGATTTTCCACATAAATCATAGAGAATAAAGAACTGTAAGGCCGCATGAGAAACTGTCCCAGCTGATGCTTATTTAAAACTTCTACTGATGTTCATATTTGCTTCCCTCATTAATTCAGAAGTGGATTGTCATCCACTAGATAATAAATATACTGCCATATGTCAGCAGGAAGGGCTATTCGTGTGATCACAATCTCAAATGGAATTTGACACAGCTACATTTTACACTGTATTTAACTACAATAAACGTATTCTATTATTAAATCCTGGCACCATCTATTCATTTTAATATTGAAGACTTACACATAGCTGCAAACAGGCTTTGTCTTTCTTGTCAAGCAACCCCCAAATCTATATAGAGTACTCGTATGCAGCAGGATGAACCATCATCTCAACACAGTGATGTTCAGATTGCTCTCCCATGACAAATTGACCAAACTTGCCATTTTCACAGGAAAAAGCAAAACCAAACATATTTTAAAAAAACCTCACAAAATAGAAACAGTAGCAATTAACTGATACTATGAATAAACATATAAATTCCTAGATTCTAGGAATTCTATGATTCTATGAAACCTACCTACCATATTACTACCTATTCTTCTTAAAACAAAGACTGTACAGCTCCAGTCCTAGCACGTTCTCTCTCTGACCACCTGCTTCTCCCAACCCCATCCAGCCCCACAGCACAAAGCCAGGCTGCACAAAGGTGGGGTAAGCATTGCCACCATGGAAACTGGAGGTCAAGATGGTCATGAAGGTGATGTGATGCTACCCGTGGACCTGGCACACGGAACTTCAAGGACATTTTGATGCATTTACAGCAGAAGGACAGAAAGAATGACATCAGAGAGGAAAAAAAAAAGACAAAAACAGCCTTTTGCTGCCAATAGCTATATATCAGCTTTTCATTTCCCTGGGTCATTTGGCCATTTTGGGCTGCTTTTAAGCCTGCTGACTAGTCCCAAAGACCTCATGCACTCTCATCACCAACCTCCTCATAAAATATTTAAAAGTATCACAGATGGTTTTACAGAAGAATCATTTAATTTAACATCTCAAATCATCACAGACCTTCACGTTGCTCCTTGTTGCCAATGAGCCAAACAGCCTGCCCCCGACTGCGGCACGACTTTGATCCACACCAGGAGTCTCTCTGAAAAACCCAACGTTTCTTTTTCAAAGAGGCAGCTGCCAGGTAAACCTCCTGACCACAGCAATACCTTCAAACCATGTTCACTGAACAAGTAGCAGGCAGGTTAACTGTAGCCTGAGTGATTTCTAACACAGGGAACCAACTGCAGCAAGGAAGGTTGCCATGATGAACTCTTTTCTCTTTCCCAAAAATATCAATGGCACACATCCGTGTCTCCACACATGCACTCAGGCCCAATAGCACAAGGCTCAGAAGGGAAGAACTTACCTCTCACAGCACCTACCTCCCATGGTTTGGGTTTTTTTTTTAACCTATATCCAACTTTCAGTTTCTGTACAGGTATTTAGCTGAACTGAGACTAAAACGCAGTGTTAGAACTTGGCCTCTGCAAAACCCAACTCTAATCTTAATCCAGGGTTATGCTAAACAATCATTAATAACATAGCTTCCCAGTTTTCCCAATCCTAATCCAAACTGGAACCACAGATACATCACATGGTTGGATCTAGAAGTTCCAAGCCAGTGGCTTGGCATCAGCTAACAGTACTTGCCCTCGTGGAAGTTCTGCAGCCCATGCCATACACACAGACAACCAGGATTCACTCGTTTCCTAAATTCAGTCCTAATCCCACCCCCACAATTCTATATAAAGACAGCATAGCAGACAGGGACTAGACTAAACTGTGCCTCACAGGTCCCTTTAGATCCCATCCATATGGCCCCATGGACCACTGAACATATAGCTCAGCCTTTTCCAACCACTAATTGTAAGCACATCTTTACCACAGGTAGTCTAAACAGAGAGATCATAGAATCATTTAGGTTGGAAAAGACCCTTGGGATCATCGAGTCCAACCATCTCCCCTACTCTACAAAGTTCTCCCCTACACCATGTCCCCCAACACCACATCTAAATGATTCTTAAACACAGCCAGGGATGGTGACTCAACCACCTCCCTGGGCAGCCTATTCCAATGCCCAACCACTCTTTCTGTGAAAAACTCTTTCCTAATGTTCAGTCTAAACCTACCCTGTTGTAGCTTGAAGCCATTCCCTCTTGTTCTATCACTAATTACCTGGGAGAAGAGACCAGCATCAACCTCTCTACAGGTAAGGACTAGGGTTAAGAAAAGGCAAGCAAACAGCCCGCGAGCATTAGGCTTAGGTATTGGTCAAGAGAAAACAGACTGAGAAATCCCAGGTTACTGGAAAGAATCTGATGGTCCTAAAAGGTAAAATGAAGGTTGTGCTCAGGAGCAGCAAGTGCCTAACCTCTCTTCTAAGCCTCAGTTCAACCACCCTTCTAGACAGGGATTAGATTTAGTTAACAGGAATAGCTCAGTTTATTGGTGGCCCCTGAGGACAGGAGAAGGGTAGATGGCCAGTGTTTTATAAAAGCCTTGGAGTGCTCTACAACATGCCAAAGAAAGGAGATCTGGGCGGATAAGTGGCTACTATTTTATTTTAGGTGCATGTGGTAAGTAACCCATACCGTGGATTTGGATTTAGGCATTAGAAAGAGGAAGAGCAGAGGAACCAAAGCCGTTGCTGAACATTCAAGATGTTCAGCCTGTCAGGCTCAGATGAGGCCTGGACTCAGAGAGGGCAGGTGGTCAGCATTAATTTTTTTTTTTTTTCTTAGCACACCCATGCAGAAAAATAATGTTTGGGGTCAGGGTTAAGAACATCTACTAATGTTCACAAAAAGCCTATGCTGTTTAAAATAAAATAACTTTTAAAAAATTAAAGAAATAGACCTGACTGAAATCTCAATCAATGTTCTACAGTCAAGTATTTTGTAGTCTTCTGAAGACTGTACAAAATAGCTGACAAACATGATCACCCTATCCATAAAAGAAATAGGTAAAAAGCTACTCCATTTCACATAATTAGCCTAAATCAGCTGCCAGTAAGTTTTCTCTTAAAATGCCATAAAAAGACAAAAAAAAAAATCAAAATAATACAGACAGAATTTGAAACAGCTGCTTGCTTTTTCTCTTAGTTTTAACTGTGGTCTCCAAACATGATATTGTACAATTTGCTTAATGCACTGAATTACATTAAGGATCTAGAATGAATATCTGCATTGACTCAGCATGTCACCAAGAACACATGAACTAAATAATTAAGTCCAATTAGCGTTGAGAATGAAGTCAAACCTAAATTTGATCTGACAGTAAACTTAGATGCTGCCGAGTAAACATATGTAGAGAAAAATTGTCTGGCAATGTGGGACTGAGATAAATAAATGACAGAATCTCCACAAACATATAATATTTGAGTTAGGACATCAAGCATGTCTGATATCATTCGTAAATGTCACCAAGAGTACATGTCTAGATACAAAATGCAACAGTATTTCCATTTGGGGATGTTGCATCTTCAGTAAACCTTTTGGAAGGTGGAAAACTAAACAGTTCCCCTTTAAAGTCTTCTAAGTGGTTTCATTTACCAAATAAAACATTTCAGTTCTGTGAGGATCTGAAGTGTTAGGAAGACAGTTTGCTGTCAGTAATTTGCTGATCTTGAATTAAAATGATCCATTTAACAATGACTGTGATGTTAAATGTTGCTAAGTGTCTGAAACATGCCAATGAGAGGAAACTAATATAATAGAAAAACTTACAGCTGAGCTTGAGTATGCCTGATTACATTGAAAACTCATGTCTCGTGGCAAGGATGACAGTGTTATAATAGCTTCTGATACCACCACCCTGATCATAGAATCATAAAGTCATCTGGGTTGGAAGGGTTCTTCATCCAACCTTCAACCTAACTGACAAAATACCATCACTAACCCATGTCTCTAAGCACTATGGCAACCCAGCTTTTCAACACCTCCCGGGATGGGGCCTCAACCCCTTCCCTGGGCAGCCCAGTCCAAGGCTTAAGAACCCTTTCCATGGAAACATTTTTCCCAATCTCCAACCTGAACCTCCCCTGGTGCAACTGGAGGCCATTTCCTCTTGTCCCATGGCCTGTTCCTTGGGAGAAGAGACTGACCCCCCCTGGCTACACCCTCCTTTCAGGGAGTTGGAGAGAGCCAGAAGGTCTCCCCTCAGCCTCCTTTTCTCCAGGCTCAACACCCCCAGCTCCCTCAGCCTCTCCTCACAAGACTTCTTCTCCAGACCCCTCACCAGCTCCGTTGCCCTTCTCTGGACCCGCTCCAGCCCCTCAATGGCTTTTTTGTGGTGAGGGGCCCAAAACTGGACACAGCCCTTGAGGTGAGGCCTAGTACAGGGGGAAAATCACCTCCCGAGTCCTACTCCCCACACTGTTCCTGACCCAGGCCAGGATGCTGTTGGTCTCCTTGGCCACCTGGGCACACTGCTGGCTCATATTCAGCCCACAGTTGACCAACAACCCCAGAAAATACCAATATGTAATGATATACCT